CTCACACACACACACACACACACACACACACACACACACAAACACACACACACGTTTGATAAGCACAACTTCACAGAGAGAGGGCGTGTGTGCACCCGTGTGCCCCTCGAAGGCAATCGATCACGTCTCCCCACACTGTTGGACAGTACGTGACAGATTCCAGTCGGCGTCGACCACATTCGAGAGGCGGAGTATACCCGTCAGAAAGAAAGACGGTCCCGAAAGAGGGTCCGTAACAGACTGCGTTGACGAACTCCCACCACCTCATCTCATCATAAATTATCACGCACGTGGCCGACACCAACTCCTCCCATCGCTGCTACGACTCGGCTGTGGGAACTGCCTGTATAATCCGGTGAGGCAAGGCCAACTCTTAGCTTCACTTAACACTCACAAAGAGGACAAAAAGGCAAAGCGGTAGCTCCTTGGTGAAATGTTGGACTGGACGAAAGAGTCTTCCACAACCAACCTGTCTCTCTCCTTTATTCGCCAATACAAGCAATATATACGACTTACGACTTGGCACCTGCCACTCTACTTATCTATGTCAACATACCAATTTCAAAATATAATGACGTTTCCGATCGACGATTCCGATCGATCCCTCTCTCCATGAACCCCCGGTATTGACGGAACATGACCCCCTTGAACTCGACGGCGCTCCTGAAGGCCGAAACCTGGGAAAAGGGAGATGAATGGAAATTCGCTTTGCTTTGCTTCGCTCTCTCACAAGCACCGCGTCAAACAGAACAACGACAAAGAAGAATACAGAAGAGACCGACCGACAGGAACAACAAGAAAAGAATGGCTAAACGTTATTTCGAAACATGCGTTAAAATTGAAAGGGGTTACAGAGAATGAAGATTAGCATGGCCCCTGGGCAAGGATGACACTGACACTGACACGCATAAATCGAGAATAGCTATAGCTTCACTCTCCTGAGAACCCGGAAGAAAAAAGAGGATGCCTATGCCTTAACCTGGAAGGTCGTTGATGTCAAGGAGAGGATGCCTTAACCTCAACGTAAAGTTCATGTCCATCCCCACCGTTCATTCCCTCCTCCACACCTCTCTATCGCTCCTTTGTCCTTACCACGTTTCTCTCTATTCCACCTTCTTCCCACTACCCTCCAAGCACTCCACCTACCTGCACTCGATCAACCGTCTTCCCCAGGACTTGCTGATTTCCCAAAAGGACTACCGCAGCAAGACAAGAGAAGGAAACGAGCACGAAAGAGGGCCCGAAGGAATGACAACAGCTACAAAGGTGGGAATGACGAGAGACGAGGCGCCTCATGTGTCGTACCTCCTCACGTGTCGAGCAGCGGACGCTGGACAAAGCCGACGACGACGGCGCTTCTTCGCCTCTCCACCGGTCTGTGCGACAACCGCGACGAGATTTGTGTGATTTGTGTTCGATACACCTCGCACCTGAGTACGCCCCGGGCAGAATCTCACCGGAACCACTGGAACCGGCCTCCGGCCCTGCTGTCCCAACCCTTGACAGCTGGAACCGGCCTCCAGTCCTGCTGTCCCAACCCTTGGCAGCTGGAACCGGCCTCCAGTCCCGCTGTCCCAGCCCTTGACAGGTAGAACCGGCCTCCAGTCCCCGCTGTCCCAGCCCTTGACAATTGGCCGAGCAGGCGCTACTGGTAGTCCGGGACTCCGTTGTGTACGGTATCTTAGTTGTGGAACCGGGCTGGTGCTATGCTGACGCTACGGCCGCATGAGCCTGGTCAGAAATGGGACCTCAGGAATATAGCGCCGGTGGGTCCCTAACCTGGCATTCACTTCGCCTATTCGTGCTTACTGAGCTCAGGTTAGGACAGGTGGAGACTGCATGGTGCTTTCAATACAATGGGACCTGGTTGAACCAAGAGTACGAGAGCGCGTCAGGCAATACACAGCTATTTCACTGATCTTTTGTGGGGTTTTGAACTCCGTTCCTCTAATCGACAGTAACGTGGGTGTGCGATTCAGTTCAGCCAGATGGATGGGGTTCGCTCGCGCCTAGAGTCGTGCATTCGCGCGGGGGCATTACTCAGGGCATTTGATACGCCTGCTGCTGTTACAGCAGCCAGGAGGGCTACGGCATGCGAACGTGTTCAATTTCAAGGTGGATGTACCTGCGTTGCGTCAGTCCCTTTGCGATGGTCCCAACCTACCCCGTGGGCTAGGGAGAGTTCCAGGTTTGGTTGGTGTTCCCTCGTACTACACATAGGGGTTCGCTGTACTACTCTAGATTCGAGCTTTTTCTCGAGTGCGGCATGGCTGCACTTACTCAAGAACTGGCCGCTCGAAAACCTGTTCTAGAGCTGTCAGAACAACTCTAGAAAAGTAATAGAATCGTCATCGCTCCACTTACTCAATAAGTTCGTTTTAGATTTTCATTTCTTGAGCTGTCAGAGTGGGCCTGTCCTTCTCACTCTAGGTAGATCTTGAGTGGGCCTTGAGCCTGGACGGACAACCCAAGTTGCCGCTGTCCTGCTGTGAAATGGTCGAACTCAAAAAGTGATGGAGCAACTCTTGCTTTTCTAAAGTCTTGCTAGTGCGGCGATGCGTAGATTTTAGGACTTTTCGTGACTCTGACAGCTCTAGAACGACTCTATATTTTTTTCACGAGTCTAGAGTAGTGAAGCGAGCCCCATAGAGTAGCGAGAGGATGAGATAGGACGTACTCACACAGTTGTGGCGTAGCAGCCAAATCTGCGAATTTTACTATCCTGATTTTGCAGAAATGTCACCTCGCCAGGTCACATAGCGGCAGCAAATCACAAAAGCCAATAATTACCAAAATGGTGCCTCGTGTGGTCACACAGCGCGAAGGTCCAAATCCTTCGACCTTTTTTTTTTCAAAAAAGTTCGTTTCGAGCTGAAAAAAAAATTGCTACCACCTCCAAAGGTGGTAGCAAAATGCCCTTCACCATGGCCCGCTAAGCCGTTGACATTTGGTACCTCGTTTGTTACTTTTGCCACTTTCCCTACTTCATGTGACTAACCCAACCTTTAAATTTTAGTTATTTTGCCATAAAAGGTCCTAGTGTAAGTAGGTCAATAGATGACGAATATATATACAAACAAGATTGAGATAATAATACAAACTACTTTTATATTTTTTTTAAATTAGACTGTGCAGTGCGTCGTGCACAAGAACGCAGCCAGTCGAGAGCAGGGACAAAGGTAAGGGACGAGACCTGCTCTTGAAAAATAATTTCCCTCTTATGAGGAGGTGAGAGTTCGACGGAACAGAATATCACAGTCGCTCGTCCATTGTTTACTTTTCCCTCGTCTTCCCACGAATGCACCTAGTCAGGGGGATGGTTAACATACATTATATATATATATATATACTTGTTTATTTTATTTTATGATTATTATTTTCGACAAAAAATAACGTAGATGTGGCGAATAGAAGTAAAAAGAAGTAGAGAGGTGAAGACAAAGAAGTGGAAAAATGAAAGGAGCCATGTGTGCAGGGAGAAAGGGAGAAGAAAAAGCGCGAAACAGATGATGATGAACATAAGTTGCATGACAATGTGCTCGAAGGAACAAAGGTAGATTGCACAAAGGAGGAAGCGTGAGGTGGAAGAGAGTGCACGTGCGAGAGAAACAGAGTAAGCATGTGGGAGAAAAAACCTAAAAGCACGGGTATGAGATGAGAAAGCAGAAGAGGAGGAGGAGAACAAGAAAGAAAAACAAGAAGAAGAGCAACGGAGGGAAACTACCTTCATTGCGGTGCTCTTCTCCGTTGACTACCGGTCGTCTTCTTCATCTACCTATGAGCAACTTCCTCTAAGATCGTTTGCTCTCCTGTCATAAATGGGCGAATCGGGCAGGGTCCTCCACTTGGGTAACGGAGCATATGTTGGCGTGTGTGTGTGTGTGTGTGTGTGTGTGAGAGAGAGAGAGAGAGAGAGAGAGAGAGAGAGACAAAAAGAGAAAGAGAGAGAGATAAATTTACATGGTCGCTCGTGGATTGTTACCGCTGCATCCGGACGATGAGATCCTCGAACACGACACACCCTCCTTCCTTGTACATGGTCAGGGGAAGCAGCTTGGTACATCCATTCCTTGTCATGTTGTCTAGTAGGAATATAAGCGGGATAAGTAACCGAGAGGGATCACACAGATAGAGAGAAAGAGAAAGAGAGAGGGCTTACCTTGACGAAGATTCATCCTCCCGAAATAAGTCAATGAAACTAGACAAATCAGTTGGTCACGTCACCTCCCTCTCCAACTATTATTCACTATGTTATTCTCTATGGCAATATAGATGATTCTCGTTTGTGAATTATATTTTATTTCGTCTTATTTCATTTTATTTCGCATTTTGCTGATTGCGATAAGATACATGTAGGTACCTCTTGCGTCCGACCAGGGTTGAGGGATGATTCATGCAACCTGGTTTGCAAATTCATGTGGATGTGAGAGATAAAATAATGAGAGTAGATAAAAAATAAAGGAGGATACGAAGGCGATAAACAAAGGACGAAGAATAAAAAGCGGGTTCATCACCCTTACCTATGGTTTTCATCTTTCCCCGAGTTGTGTACTCCCTTGCCATAACTATATCGGATCGGCAAGATAGCTTGCATAAATTTATCATTATTATATTATCATTTTTATTATTTTTATTATTGTCATAATTGCTATTTTATTTCAAAGACGCATATATACATTATGAGAGAGAAAGAGAGCAGAGTCGAGAGAAAGAGCGAGTACAAAGAAACTGATAAAAGGGTCGGAAAACAAAAGAGAAATAATGCACGTTGAGGAGGAATGAATGCAGCAAGGACAGACAATGATGAAAAAAAAAAGATGAATTTAAAGAGGAGGAGGGGAAGGAACATGGAGGGGAAAAGCAAGGAGAAGATGTGATGCACAAAAAACATACACCTGACCGAGATACTGACTAAATGCAGTCAACATAGAAGTATTGGCGGTAATGCGGAAATAAGGATAGGCAAATGGAAGTGAAAATGAGAGAGGAGAGAAAAGCATACATAGTGTATGTTGGCGGTCTGTATTGGTGGTGACGTCACGTAAATTGATTTTCAACTTCGTTGTGATCTTGCTTAACGTAAATTTGCTAGATAGGTTGAGTATTGAAGGTTGAGCGTTGAGTGTGATTGACAATCAGTAGGAGCGACATTGGATACTATATGGGCATTAGCAGAGAGCGTCGACTTTGATATTTGAGTTCGTTGTATTGCTTTTATTTGAATGATATCTTGGTGCATTGTACTCTCCGCTTGGTATATAAATATCTGGACTGTAGCATGATTTTGCAATTTATTTTTTTGTCTATCGCTCCATCGCTTTCTTTCCATTATTATTATTATTATTATTATAATCAGGGTTACCTGACCGAACGTTCGGGGGCCCCCGGGCTAGCCCTCGAACGTTCGGGCGTTCGGGGTCCCGTTCGGGGGCCGAACATCTCCAGGTTTGGCCCCCGCCAAAAAATATTTCTGGGCCTAAAAATAAGTTTTGTTTTCTGAATTTGTTTTTGTGAGTTCTCTATGATGTAACCTACACGCCTATAAATTTTAAAGCGATTCTGCTAAGCCAAAAAAACATTAAA